CAAGGTCAATTGTTTTCTTATTTTTCTGAGAAAGAGTGAGTTGTTTTTGATGGTAATAAGAATGTGGAAAACAACTAACCCTAGTGGTTAGCCGCGTTTGTCGCATTCCACGCTCGACCTCGAATTTGTCGATTTTTGACGATATTGTAGATCGGATCTGACGTGGAACCGAGCTTGTTACTGTTCCTATCCAAAGGCAAAAGATCGGTAAAATTGAGTGTGAACCGGCTGGTCAAGGGCGTACCGCGCTCTTAACTAGCTTTTGGAAGATTTTGTAACAAGCGAGACGGAGCGCGTTTGCACGACGACCACGGATCCTATTTTTTAGAGACGTCACGTTTATTTATCCTGTTTGCTTCCATTCCAAAGCCCCAGAACAAGCGCGAAAAACTGGGCAGAGATGATGAAATATCATCTTTTTCGGTACGGTAGCACTTGTAACGAATGTTATTGAAAAAGAAGTGATAACAAATTAAGAGATCATCATGATTCATGAATCATGATTCACGAAAATAATTAGTACAGAGTCTGTAAAAACGTCTCTTTTTGTATTTAAAACGTCTCTTTTTGTATTTAAAACGTCTCTTTTTGTAACGAAAACGTCTCTTTTTGTATAAAAAACGTCTCTTTTTGTATTAAAAACGTCTCTTCTTGCATAAAAACGTCTTTTTTTGTAATAAAAACGTCTCTTTTTGTATTAATCCAAAAGTCTGAATAAGTAAGTTTGTCACCACTGTCAAAGAAAAGGAAACGAATCCCGAAAATGAAAAGCTAAGGGTGTCACGACACTTCCTCCTCGAGTTTTGATCACGGGACCTTATCATCAATCGACTTGAGTAAATTGTTACAAAGAAGTTTAAGTGATTCCAAGAACACGTCGACGCCCTTTTTCTTTTCTTGGATCTTGAAGTCATATTTTTTCCGAGAGAATGGTACGCTTTCGCTGTTAATTTAATGTTTGGCTCAAGAGCTTCTTCGCGTGAGTCGTCTGGTTGAGCAATTGCTCGAGTGGGACTCGATCTTTGTTGATCCGCGGCTGCAATTTTCGGTGAACAGGTTTCGTTCTGCACGTGATTTTCTGCTCGTCTTGCGGATTTAGCTCTCGAAATGGCGCATTTAGCCGATTTCAACTAAGAAGAAGTCCGATAGAATGCCGTAGCTTCAGTAAAGCAAGAAAATTATTTGCGTAAAAATTTCGGCTTATTTTCGGAAAACCAGAATATTAACAGTTTGCAGTACAGGATCTACAATCTCAAATACAATTTTTTTCCATTTGAGCTCTAGGAACCACAGATATCAGAAAAACCTCATGTTATCGGGCTTCATACTTATGTACATCGATAACTACACGGGAAACCCAGGCTTTTTCGATTCTTTGAATGTATTAGCTTTGGTAGGGAAAATGTACAGTCTGTTTTTTCCCTGAAAGAGTTACTCTTGAGCACCTTTTGCTCAAGATGACGTCAAATAAACTAAAAGTAAAATTGCTATTTTTGTAGATTACGGACGAACTCTCCTTTTTGCGTTGACTTTATTTTAAAATACACCGTTTCGTACATAGTACGCAAGTTTGTCCAACAGTACTTCTTTTGAGTGGGCAAGCTACTTTCACGAGCTTCTTATCAATGTATTTTTATCCGATAATTTCGTCCAGAAAACTTGCATCTCGTTACCAACGTGCTTTTTTAGAAAGTTAAGCCGCTCATCCCCAGCCCGATTAAGAAGGATGATTCAAAGACGAGCGATAAAAGAAAACATCATCGAAATTGACGATCCCGGAGAAGACAGTAACTGATAAACAAACGCGGTAATCTCGCTAATTCACTGCGTAACCTACGGCTCATTAGCCGCACCGCAATAGGCTATTGCCAATAGCGGTAGAATAACTGGTAACCACCTGTCGGTTATTTTTATAACTCATCGGGGGTCGGCTTTTTGCTGACTGTTAGACTTTGAAATGCATTTTCAGGTTATCTAGGTATGATAGTTGTGACCGCTAGTGATGTTGAATTAGTTTCCAATTTGGAACTTAAAATTGCCATCTGCCACATCCGGGATAGCTCGTTGAGGATGCTCCATCCGGTTCCCGTCATGTCGATGAAGTGGCCACGTTCCCGCCATCAACCATCCTAGATGCCAAAGTGCTGCGCCGCGGCTAAGTGAGCACCACTCTCAATTTCCTCAAGATCGCAATAAAATCAGATTTAATCTACCGGTAGCGGACTGGACGCGGTATTCCTTTATTGTAGGAATCGAAGGGCCCATAAACGGATCTGATCGGTGTCATTTTCGTCCGGCAATTTCGTTGCGGCTCCGGTAGAATAAAGTCAAGGCCCGGATTCCAGAGTAGATTGGAGTCCGATGTAGGAGATAACTGATAAGGAGAGTGACATAATTCAATAACAGGAGATTATCGTCTCCGCACAGTACCGCACCTAGAAGGGGGCCTACCTAGAGAAAGCTTTTTTTCAAAATAAAAAGTTCAAAACTCCTCGCTTTTGTCCTTTAAAACTCGCGATAACCCCATTGACTTGTGAGCATGTTATCAGCATCGCTGGCACTTTTACCCGAAATACTTTCTATAAACAAAAAAAGATTTCTTTTTGGTTTTGGAAGTGCTTTTAGAGTTTGAAAAAAAGAGTACCGCTGGGATCAGTCCCATCCATTACGCACGTGGCTCGACTTTGAGCAGTTATTAGCCACTCTATATTTGAGTGGAGAACTTTTAGAACTTCGAATGAGAGATAGAGTGCCATCCAGCACCAAGTGCAACGATGAAAAACCGTTCTTCGATGAATTAGTAGCTGCATCAGTTTCTTAGAGATCTCCACCTTCTCGCTCTTTAGGCGTCATTAATTTAACACAATGAAATTATCGGTTTCGATGCATGAAATCATTTTCACCTCACGAAGTCGACTTTCTCCTAATAGAGTCTTTTTTTTTCTTCGCGGAATTTTTCCCCAAGTGTTGATTTTATTATCTGAAGTGGCGGACTTCTGATACTAAGAATCCTCATGAAAAAAGAGTGATTTTATTACGAGAGATAAGAACTTCCTATTTTTAAGTGGGTATTATATTTATCTGCTCTGATAACTTGGCTATTCTTCTTGGCCACTTGACAATCTAACACTTACCAAGTCGCGTGATAAGCTTTTATTATAAAATTTTTCCTCGAAATTTTATAATACAGTCGATTTCCAAAACTCTCAAATAAAAAAATTTTAGCTATGAATTTTTTCTTCATTGCACCAAAGGAAGACTCTATTTTGATTTCTTTTGAACTGCAAAAAGTATTTTTTTGCTCGATCGTCTAAAGCCAGCATTGCTTTTCGAAGCCTCTCGGGCTCAAGTGCGGCAGGACTTTGACCAACCGCGCTGAGCGGCTTTTCTACACCTAAGGAAACCGGCTTATGAACCCTGCGAGGTGCCCCTTAGACAACTTTCGGGGAATTTTTCGAAAGTGATTTTTCAGTGATTTTTTTCATTGATTGATGGAGCTTTTTTCGCGGAAAAGATTCGTGAAGGCGAAAATATTTGACTTCTCGGGAGACGAACACTTACGCCGACAGCATAGCTGGGCCGCATGGAACTTACTCGTAGCTCCGATTTCATCAAGTGCTTCTGACCATGGCCGGTTTCTCATGTCCGCTCATAATGTGGCGATCGTCGACTTGGTCAGTTTAGTTCAAAAATGCTTTCCATCAAAATAGTTTTTAAAATTCAAAAATTCATAATTTTCTCGACTCTAACTTCTCTTAGAAAACATAGTGTTTGAGCATCTGGGCGAACCACTTGCAGTTGGTATGAAGGATAATTTTCTAGTGACGCAGTTGGAAAAAGAGCTCAACTTAGCAGCGGCATGGCGTTTTTTATGTCCAGAAAGAATTGCGAGACAGTTTAGAATGAACAGAAATGCATATTTTTAAGCAATTTTTTTAAGAAAAGACACTTGAAAATCAATCAGAATAATAAATATAATTCTCGTCCAGAATATTCTGCATTTTCCGAGAATCGGATTCTTCATTGCGGTCCCTAAATGATTGAAATTATTTATCCGATCCGTTGTCGAAGATTATCTCGGACATGTTTCGCTCATTTATCAGATTGCGTTTGATCCAATATGATTCTCCCATGTTGTCCTTTTGCGGAAATGACATCAGGCAGCAAAGCGGATTTACGCATGTTTTCTGGGCCTCTCCTTCGACCCTTTATTCAAGGCGAAAGCTGCCTGATCAACTCCTCAGATGTTCAATTCGAAAAATTCAGGGGCAGCGGTCTTGGTGAATTTGTGATCCGCGCAATGCCGCTTTTGCTGCTGGATCAGCGTGCAGGAAACACTGTGACTGTCAATGTCATGCCCATGAAATTTCGCATTATTTTTTCGTCGCTGCGGAAAATTTCTGATTTGAAAGTTATTTGATCGGTTATTATTCATTATCTTTTCTTCCAGGCCTGTGTAGACCAGTGTTAAAAACCTGAGTCAGGATCGTTCGGCTCTTTTGAATCCTGACTCAGGTTTTCTCCACAGGTTTGCCCGAAGCTTGCGTTTTCTTTCAATACTGCGAATTTTTAGTAATAAGAGCGCGTTGTTATTTTACTAATGTTTTTACTCAGTTTTATTGAGCATTCAGTTTGTCATGCTTGCCATTTGTTGCGAGTCAAAATAGCCTTCTAAAATGCTTCTTTGCCGACTGCGCCGTTTCTCGACTTGGCGCTATAGAATTGGCAATAATCAAGCCTGCAATACCAATCATTCCGAATACTAACTCTCGTTTGTTGTTTAGCACAAAAATCGTCAGCTTCTAGCTTTTCATGCTAGAAACATGGACGATTTAATTTTATTAATTTTTCTGTGTTTTCCACGGTGCAGAATTGGGGGTGTTATCTTACATCAAGAAACGTTTTTTATCGAAAGTTTCGTTCAGAGATTTTTTTTCGTTGAAAGATTCAATTCGGAAATCGATCTGTTTTCACTTTGGTTTTTTCTTAGTTTTTTGTCTTCACAAGTTGTCCACGTTGGGCTCCGGCTGTTGTCGATGTGATTTGTTTGATCTCTAAAATTCAATATTAGAACTGAATTCGCATAATTTGAAATAAAAGAATAAAAGAATGAAAAACTTTTCCTCCTCGAATTCATGCCAAATAAAAAATAAGGGTGTCACTCGATTAATTCAAATCTTGACCTATCCAAGCCGCGCTACGAATGTCGGCTCGAAGCCGCAAGCGGCTTTTTTGTTTTTGAAAGAAGTTACAAGAGAGGTCTTCAATAAGGAATCTATGATGAATTATTTTTATGGATGGCCTAACCCTAACCCTAACTCATCCAGGATGGGCCATTTTCAAATACTTACATGTACAGTGCTCGAGTTTCGAGCTTTGGAAGATTTAGGAGGCAATCAGTTCAGAATTGCGAGCAATTTCAATTTTGAACAACGACTTCCTCCTCTTCCGGGGCAGAGGCGTCTGGATGAAGTGAGAGTGGAAGTGATCGGAAATTCGTTCGTACAAAATTCTCGTTGCGCATCATCACGTGATCCTGCTCGCGCACGCGCTCCTGCCTAGCTATATACTTCCTTTTTTTGCGCTTGTTATACGCAGAACATGTAAAATAAATTAAAAGAACGACGACAATAACGGCACTGGTAGCAGCAGCGATCACTGCCGCCCAGTAACGCCACTTGTCGCAGGAAATTGCTTGACTTTGAGTTGACCAAGTTCCATCGGATTGGCATCTTCTGAAGGCTGTCTTCGCCTTCGAATCTTTCCAAGGGTTGAAAATTAGCGCCCCTTTGATATTAAGAACAGTGAGTAATCCCCAATTTAGACGGGGGTTTTAGAGGTTTTTGATTAATGATTACCAAGTGCAATCTTTAGATGCCTTTTTCAATATCTCATTCGAAAGAAAACCATAAAAACACTAGAAATCTAGATCAAATGGTGATTTTTAGAATCACGTGATCTTAAATTTGAGATTCTCAATCCTGAATTTGCAAATAATTAGTAAATATTATTAAGGGTGTCAAAAGAGTATAAAAATTATCGGGAAAATAAATTTTGACATGGTCTCAAAAATATTCAACTTGTCTCAAAATTTTTCATCGAATTGTTTCTTTTACAATTATTGCCAGAAAGCCTCGACTCTTTTCCCTTTATTGCAGAAATCTAAATATTTTTCGACTATTTTTCTTCTTCCTTTAGAGCAAGGGTTCATTCAAAATCAATATCCAACAGAAAAAGAAGGGGCGCATTTAATTTTGATAATGCATTGTATACCCTTAACTTTGCATTCAAAGACAACTTGCGTATCCACCGGCGCGACTGATTCGTAAATATCGACTATTTTTCCATCTCCATCTCGAAAGTAAAAGATCGAGTCCAATGGCTGATAGAAGTCTTCTGTCAATGAGCACGTGGCGTTGGCGATGGTAGGAGACACGCCGCTGGGCGCGTCTCCCCGAAGCTGCCCAGTTTCGGGCTCACTCATTTCTGTTTTCTTCTTTCTCTCTGTTTCTTGCTTCTTTTCTTTTATCGAAAATTACTTTTCTGCATCTTCGTTTAATAACGCTGATTTAGGGTTCTTGTCATTTCAAAAAAAATGATTTAAAAAAAAAATTAAAAATAATCTTTTTACGAAATTATGTAAAAAAAATAATCGAAAAAATATATTCTAATTAAAAATTAATTCGTTACATTATAAAAATATATTTTTTCTTCATCTTATTTAATTTAAATAAAATAATTCAATTATTTTCATTTTATTAAATTCCCAAATATTAATTTTGTTTTTATTTAAATGTTGATTGCCAAATAAAAATATTTTTTCTCAATTTTTTCATGAGAAAATTAAAGAATTTATTTTTTTGAATTAACAAAAATTAATTCTATGGAATCGTCATAAACCCGGTCCTAGTAGCATTCAGTGTCGGCTATTCATTCTCTGTTCTTCTTCTTTTCAAATCTCTAAGAATCAGGTGTCTGTCAATCGTTTTAAAAAAATATCGAAAATGGGAAATGCTTCGGTTTATATTTTTCACGAAAATATTATGCACCAAGGATGGTGAAGCTTCTTGCTGGGGTCGCTCAGTTGAGGCGGGTCGGAGCTCTTTTTCGTGGCCGGCGGCGATTAAGGGACACAACTTGAGCAATGCTTGGTGGCGCCACGACGCCATTAAAAGACCAAGGGGCCGCTCGCGAGCTGGCAGGGAGCCTCAACCTAACAGCGAGGGCCAAGGAAGGTTAGGACGAGGCTTGTTTGTTTTGAAACAGTAGTATTGTGATCAATTGGCCTAGTTAAAGAGCTCTTACATCGATTCTTAAATAAACCCCGCTTTGCAAAAGATTTTCTTTCACTTCGACTTAATCACGTTTTGTTAATTAGCGCTTTCTCTTTCGTTTATTTAGAATTTTTTGTTCTTCAATTTTGTTTTATTTTTGCTGATTCGAATTAAAATCGAACTCAGCGGGAGTTGAACTGAAAGATTTATTGCAATAAAAAAAGAAAGTCGGTTGGTCTTGATTTCTTCGAAATCAATGATTTCGATCAACTGATTTTTTTACCGTTGGGAAAAACATATAGAAAAAAATTCTCTTTTTTTCGATTCTAAATATTGAAAATTCCATTTATTTTCTTATTTTTTAATTTTTTCATAAAATTTATAATTTTTTATTTTCCCAAATTTTGATTTTCGATAATTTTCGATGTTTTTTCCTCTTTTTATTTGCTTAAAATTTAAGAAATCTCTAAGTAAAAAATCTCTAAGTGAGAAATTTTCCTCTATTATTCGAAACCGTGCTGCGGGTAATAATGGTCCTGGCGAAATCCGTTTAGAGGTGCTTTACGGTCACTAAGTTTATCATATTGTCGGAATCTGATCAAGCCTCGAAAGAAACTCCTTCAGCTGCAATTGAGGCGGATTTTCGACCTAAAGTCGATTCAAAATTCCCTCCGATCATATCGCCAGCTTATCCACCACAGCCCAGAATCGCCCCAGCTCATGTTTACATCACAGAGTCACAATTACCTGGAATTTTTAACGTGCGAATCTACAGTAAAAAAAACAACGGTAAAAATCACGGAACTTGCTTTCTTCGCTATCTCGGAGTTCCAAAAAGTGCCAATTCACGTGTAGATAATGACAACTAGCAATTCAGCTTTTGCTGATAATTCCATCTTTTCATTTTCCTTGAACAGAGGCGTAAAAATCCAGGAAAAGAGTCGTCTGATAAACGTACAGGTGTCGAGAAAGGTGAGAAAATTACCGGTGCTCGGCAACCGGTTTATCTGATTGCATAAGCGACCCCTGCAATACTTCTGACAAGTTGTTTAGCCAATTAGCGTTATCGTCTATCAACTTGCCGGGCAGAGTTTCTAATAATTTATGTGCGTCCTGACGCTCGCTCTGCTAATGCTTCTGCTTAAATTTTCGCCAAATTACAAGGTGTTTATCGAGCTACTTAAGGGGACAGGCAGCGTTAACGGTTAGCCTGACCTATTAGCGGCTTGGGCTCGAAAACCTGACTCAGGATTCGAAAGAGCCAGGTTTTATCAAAGCTTTTTCAAATCCTGACTCAAGTTTTTGAGCCCAACTTCTAGCCTTTTAAGGAGGTAGATATCAAGAATCGGGATTTTCTGTCAGACTTTTCTCCCAAAGTTAAAATAGTGACACCCTTATTTTTCTTTGGAAACGAAACTTTAGACCTTTCTCTATTTCCTATGGAAGCTAAAATTTCGAATTTCAAAAAAATTTTTAACAAAATTTTTCGTCAAAGATTGCTAACTTTCCTAAAATGGTCATTTTGGCGACAATCGGAGGTGCCAGATTTGCATTGTAGCACCTCGAAAGCTCAAGAAATCTAAATTTTTGGCTTCCATAGGAAATAGATAATTGTCTGAAATCAATTTTGAGCAGAAAAAATAAGGGGGTCACTATGTAAAAAAATTGAGAAAACACTGACGGGAAATCCGATTCTTGATATCTACCCCCTTAACAGGGAAGAAGAGTCTTTTTTCAGTCTTCGGAAATTTGGAAAAATAATCGATTTCACCATGAGCCTCACCTTATTTTTTTTTGGGTTAGACGATCCTACTTGAGATTGAGTTTCAAACAATGACTTCGTAAAAGATAGTGATTTGAACATTGGCGAGAGCGATGAAATATTCATCATCCTAGCTCATGTTTCCGCCTCTTCAGATGGTAATCATTTTTCGCTCAGTTCTCCTTGTAAGTTCCGTAGAAATCTATTTTTCTCACTCATTTTTTTTTCTGAAACGTGGCAGTCAATTAAAATTACCCTGCGAAAAATTTTCGTATTGGCAAAATATGAACGTCTAAGTGGCTAAATCAGCGAAACGGGCTAACCGGAATCTTTCACAATAATTTTGAGTTGAACTTTATGAGTCGAAAAGAACGAAACTTGACGTGTTAAATTATCTTTTTATTCAAAAATTGGATCAACCAACACTTGAAATTAAAGTCCTGAATCAAGTGTCAGTCAGAGGCTCTAGAAAAATGATCAACGTTCAAATATTGTATCACACGTGTCAAAATGAGGTTGCAAGACTAAAAATTTTCCTTGCTGAAATCTTTAAATATTTAAAAAATGCTGAGTGAAGCTAATCACCTGTCCTCACAGAATGATTCCTTTCTTGGGTTAACGAGGTTCTGAAAATGAGGGGGAAGAATTCGTGCTACAGGTCGACCTGTCGGGAACCATTAGCGCTTGTTTGATAAACCGGACTCTCCTTCCTTCGCTGGCCTTGCCTCTTTGTTTCGATTCGTTAAGTCCCCCAAACTCGTAACATTCCTACTTCCTTGTTCATAATACTGTGAAACTGATTATCAGTAAATTTATCCTGGAATCTTTCCAGAGAGATGATGAAAACTGGGTTTTTTCTTGAAGCGAGTTTAATAACTCTTCAGCTTGGAATTTATCGTCATGACGTACCAACCGTCTGGTTTCATCAAAAAAGTTTTTATTCCAAAAGCTGAAACCCACGTGTTTTTTTCTCCAAAGATCATCCAATACCCGGACCTCCCTCTTCACTGGAGCAATGAACAAATATGACCGCATAATTCACCAGGAGCTTTTTCTTTGATTTTTTTGGGGTAATCTCTAAGCACCAGCGACAAGACTCACGCCACAGCTAAGTGATTTGACAGAGGGGATGGAGATAGCACACGTTTTCTGTCAAACAATTTATGGAAAAGTGATTGAATTTGACGAGTTTGACTTACTGTATTTTTCAGTCAAGGGTCTCTGTAAGCTCGGCTCATGACAAACTATCTTTTCGATGAAAGCAAGACCCGTTCTGAAATTCTGAATATCCTTGGCCGCGTCTCTCAGAGAGGAAATATTTATCAACAGTGAAATAAA